TAAACACTTAAAATAATATTAACTGATACGAAGAATTATTGGTTACTAGGAACAGTTTATAGTCAGTTCTTGCTGTGTTAGAATCTAGGAGTACAGGAGGAAGGATCAGGAAAAACCATATATAAGAAGGAAGAATAACAACAACAGAAAAGATTAATATGTCAGCATCATTTTAAATGGATTTCTGGAGATTCCTTTCTACTCAGCTGAGGTCTATAGGTCTGAACTTTCATAGTGCAGTTTTAACTAAATCCTTGTTAAGATAGAACCAGTTTATAACTGAGCTTTGCTGGATGGAAAGGCACATTTGGAGGCATTGAGTATAGGTTGAAATTATATATAGATTATTTCACATCTCTTTTTGTTCTAACTCCCTATTTTTTGCTTCCTATAAATCCTCAAATTCCTGTCTTCTTTTTTCTCTTGGCTTCTGCTGATCTACTTTGCATCTTTTTGTTTAGTGTGTCTTCTCTTATTACTCTGCCACTTCTCTGCCTTCCCTTACCCCTTGAATCTTCAATGCTTTTTTTCATTTTTTCTTTTATCTAAAAATAGAAACTAAAAAGGATTCAAGTTAAAATACATATAAATACATATACATACTAAAATAGACAAGTTTGTGTATGTATAGTCCAACATTTGAGATCATGATATGTTTTTTTCAGTTTCTGTTATTGTTGGTGTATTTTTTTAACATATTAAGGATGGCACTGTATAAAAATGAGACCTAGAGAATTAAACAAACAATTCAGAATTTTCTGATTAGCTGATCACTAGTCCTTTCTATCATTTGAGGTCAAAGTTTAGCTTCTTCCCATTGAACAGGTGAATGACTATAGGTTTAGAAAGGAAAGACATGAAAGACATGCTATCGAGTGTTTTAGGGATAAATCAAGAAATGTGACATTTCATGCGTGGGTCTTTTCACTGAGACTGCAAGGTTGTCAGTCAGAATTTGCGTGGTATAGGAAATCAATGGAAACTTGAGCCCATGGACATTTACTTCAGCAAAATTCTTGCTAATTATCATGACTATGTCTCGTTAGACTGTTGTAGGCATAAATTAGAGTTTACCAAAGATTGAGATTCTTTTGTATAATTGTGAACCCCATTAAAGGTAGGTAAGTTACATTATAGTTTCTCAGCTATATTTCATCTAACACTGTTTAAGTCTTTATTAAACCAGTAAAGCTTTATATGTTGTATATGCTGTTAGTAAACCTTAAACCTAAAAAGTCATTTTATGTAGAAAATTGAATGCCTTGTATAGTTGTTTTAAACTGCCTTCTTTTTCTAAAGGTCGATTTTTTGGTCTAATTTTTATGTTTTCTTAAGTGATTAAGTAAGTGATATGTTATACTTATTGTAGGACTGAATTTAAATTTCTGAAAACAACATTTTTTTATGTGATTAACCTTTAACCAGGTATTGAATGATCCAGCTCACAAAAATATGTCAAATATACTGAATTGGCACTTACAGTGTATTAACATCAAAGATCTGATCTCATTTTTCAATGCTCTGTTAGGGATCAGCAAAGAAGGACCTATGGTGCAAATGCAGTCTCTCACCTGTCTTTGTAAATAAAGTTTTATTGGAACACAGCCACACCTGTTCATGTACATATTACCTATGGATGTTTTTACGCTACAAAAGCAGAGAGCTATAGCTGTGCGAGAGAGCATATGCAAAGCCTGAAATACTATCTGACCCTTTACAGAAAAAGTTTGCTAATCCCTGCTCTGTATAACCTAGTCAAGACTAAATTATGATGAAGTTGATCTTTGGTAGCAGTACAAGCACTGTACTTCCTGACACTTTTAAAGGAATATAAGTAGAGAAATACAAGTATTGGTTTTTTCTCTTTCCAGATTCATGTTTGTATCAAAAGTTACTATGTAAATTACTGTGGAAATTTTCAAATTTCACATTAATCGTTTGTTCATTTTTATTAGTTGTATTTTTCTCTTAATGAATATTTATCACTATATTTACTTCAATCATAAAGTACAATTATAAAGCAGAATTGAGATCCAAATGCTAAGTGATTGACTTGGCTCACTCATGTCCTGCACGTCAGACCGGTTACACTTACCTGACATGATTCAAATTCATTCATCATCAAAAGATAAATCACTATATATTATGTACTCTTAAAGGCAATCATACATTATTTATATAGTCGTAATGTTAAATTCATGTGACAAGGGTTTAAGTATATAACCTTTGGTAAGAAAATTTTATTTTAATTTTTAAAAAATTATAGTTGTTAGGGAATTTAATATTAGACTAAATAAAATCATCTTAACCATACCCTGTTGAAAGATGTTAATTTAAAATATTGAAACTCTGCCTCTGTTAAAGTAATAATTCTTCAGATTACATTGCCTGAAAAATTCTTATAAGTATTACATAGAAATTCCATACACTTTTTGTTGTGTTGATTATTTGGAATATACATATTAGGTAACCAACCCACACTGTTATTTTCTTTCTGATTATATTCTTTTGAAACAGAAAAGGGAGTTTTATAACCTTGAAAACTAAATTTTTTTGTAAAAGTTTCCAGTAATCTACCAGTCTAAATGTTTAATTTCCATGTATCTTCGCATTTTAAATTATCAAGTTTAGTAAATTGATTATGGAGTGTATAAAAATTTAAACTGAATTCTTCTTTGGCAATTACCATAATCAACTCTTAGACTAATTTCATCAAAAGAGAACAACAATAATGTAAATATTCCTCAGCACATACGGCTTCCTTTAAAAATCATGTTTAGCCAACCAATAACTGATTGTTAAATACCACTGATGTTCTTCAAACACTTTTACATGATCATAAGTAAGTGTAAGAATTTTGTCATCTTACACTTTTCCACTATGTTTTTTAACTGAGTGAAAAAGAAGTGATTATCTTCACAGCTCTTGTAGAATAAGCTGTTATGAAGCAGGATATTTGAAAACTGTTGATTTATTTTGGGAGAAAAAAGATAAAATGTGAGACAGTGTTTGCCCTTGTTGAAATGTTAATCCAAATGGACGTTAGTAGTTTGAAATACATTAATGTATATAATTCAAAATTACTTTCTGTTAACTTATACTACTTAAGTATGTACAGAAATAGTTTTTTTGATGTATGTTTATGTTTTTATGTTAATAATGCAGTTTTCTAAAATACTTTTTCTCCATCAATTTGGCTGTTTCATTGAACTGATGAGTTTGGAACAATTTTGTAACAAATTCATTGACTTTTTAAAATCTTTTCTTAGCAACCTCTTTTGGTTTGTTTTTGTGGCAAATGTTAACTCATAGGAGCATAGAAATGGGGTGGAGGGCAACGAAAAGCCAGGAACTTGGATATCTAAACTTATAGTACAATCTTAAAATAATTGAGGCCATTTCTAAAATCCACATCATTTTGCTAATACCCATTACAGATTTTCATTTAATTTACCCTATTTAATGGATACCTAAATTATAGACATTTTCTAAGATTTGTCATTTAAACCTTTTATTTTACTGCATAGCTTCAATTTACCAGCATCAGCAATCATTTCAATAAGCGCTGTGAGTCTTCTAAGACAAAATGCATTTTTGAGGGGAAGTAACTTGCTTTCTTTTTCCTTAAATTGAATAATTCTACATATGTAATGAAAAAGAAAATTAGTCATCTAAAAATGTGGTTCAAGTTTGGTCAGCCTTTCTATATAGTATATTTGTTTTAACAAATAGGTTGCAGCAGGAGATTTTTAGGTCAAATTTAGTGGTAATTATTTGTCATTGCTTTTGAGGTAACATAGTTAAAATTTGTAATAAAAATACTTGCCTTGTTTTATTTGTGATGATATCCAAAAAACCAGAGGAAGTACAGTTTCGGGTAAGAATTGAGCGTCCAGGAATAAATATAATGATGAGAATGAGTGCTTCTATCACTGGGGAACTTTCTTCATCTAAGCACATATGAACAATTGATCCTTGTAGTCATATATAGCAGTAAACATTAATAACTTAACAGTCTGAAGTCAGTGCAGAAGATATGGAGTATTATTGAAAGATGGAGTCGAGCAGGTGGCACTTTAATATGTTCAGTGTCATGGTTGACTCTAAAGACTAGTCGAATGAAATTACTTGAGGTTCTAAAGATTTAAAAAGCGAACTCATTTTGCTGCACTAAGGAAATGCTACTGATCAGGCTTTCTGTGTCCCTTTTTCCTAGGCTAGAAAATATTAACCCTGAAGAAAATGACATGGTAAGCCATTCTCTGAGGAGATTTCTTGATGTCAGTCTTATATCTTAGAGGCTTAAGTTCAATTGAGTGGGTTTCAAGAACTAAGATGTGGGAAAAAGAAGAATTGACACACTAATAATGTACATCTTTGCTGCAATATGAAAATTCAATAACTTCACTCAGTCAATTTACAATTCACATGTGCCTATTAATTAAAACCCTATATTAAATAAAATATATTAAAACTTCATGTCTGACTAACATATAATGGTGTTGGTAGACATTACAGGAATTACTGAACAGAATAAACAATGCAGACATGGGCATAGCTATTCAGAAGAATGGAGCTATAATTGTGGAGAGAATCTACAAGACCAAGGCATGTAAAAAGAGAATAACTGCAGAAGAAATGAACGCAGTGATAGAAGAGCGGGATTCTGCTTTGTCTCAGGTAAACTGCATGTATTTGTAAAAGCATATACTACCATTTCCCCCTCTTCTTTACCATTAAAAAATTATTTTGTCCCAAAATCCTTACTTTAAATGAGTTCTTAGCATATAATTGACACCACATCACAGATGTATTAAAATAATCACATATTTTATTATTCAAATACACACATTCTCATTTCTTAATAAATTGTTAGCTTGTTATAAAAATACAGTTATGTTCTCTGAAGTAATCACTTGTATATGAGACTGCTAGAGTCGCAGTTTTGTGTGGGCTGAGATTATGTCTTTGTTACTGTTTTATTCCCAGTGCCTAATTCAGTGCCTTTTAGTAAATACTGATAAATGAATCAAATTATTAGTGTCATTTTTCCTGAACATTACTTACGACTCCCTGCTCTCCCTGAAACCTGAGGGCCTCCCTGAGGATACTGCTCCCACTGCAGTCTTCTCAGGTAGCGATTGTATTTCCTCCCCCAGCAGTTACACCACTGCACACGGAAGCTCGTTCGGTAGTGTTTTTAGATCATTGTTCCTTTTTCATTTCTAAACACCTCCAGCTTGAAGCTCATGCATCAGATTGTACCACCCAGTACACACTCTGTGTTGCTTCCTTCATTTCTTCGAGATTTCAGGATCCATTTCACATTCTCTTTCTTTAGCCTACTCTTGTCATAATTCTTGATGATTTAAACGTCTGTGTAGATGATTTTTTTTTTTCAATATCCGGCCTATCGTCTTGAATTTCTCCTCCAGTCACCACTTCTGCCATCTACCCTATGGTCATATGCTACTCTTGGTCATTCTCAGTCTCAGTGTCACCACTTACTATCTTTCTGGCTCACATACTCTAGAACTCTGACTAGCAAATTTTCACCTCCACTGGCAGCTGTTTCTGTTGATCTGACCACCTGTTTTTCTATCCCTCAAGCCTCTCCTGTCCTCACCTCCCTGTCTGTTAGCCTAGATTTCATGGCTCACTCTAATTCTCACCAACTTGCATGTAGTATGACCTTAGTCCTCTTGGTCCTGTCTTCCTTTGTCCTATTCTCCTGGCAAAACCTAAGCCTTATAAATTTCACTTTCTGCCTGTTGTACACCTTCGCAGCTTTATATGACAGGAGAATATCACACAAATTTGCCAACTGAACTTACCTCAAATTCATGACCACTGTCTTCAAGTAGGCCGGTGGTGTCGTTATTTGAGAATCTTGCTTTTGTTAGTCCATTAACTCTTCCCTCTAGAGGGCTATTTTATTTCTTCTCCTTTCTTAGATATCCACTCCCTCCTCCCACATCAAAAAAAAAAGAACTTGTGCTTGTCCCCATCATTTCATCCACCAGCCCAATGCATGTGCACCCATATGCTCTGCCTTTACCAATTCATTTCTTTTTTATCACTTGCATGTCTTTACAGACAACCTCTCTATTTCTACACTTGTTCACACCTGTTCTTGCCTGCTTAAGGTACCATCTAACCAGTTTTCCCTTTTCTCTCCTACTTCATAATATGTTTCCTGTTAGTTCATTTCTTGTCACTATCTAAAATGCTTTAGGATTTTCCATGGAAGCTGGGTGGAAGTTTGATGAGTCTTGGTCTACTTGTGTTTCAGCCCTGCACTTTTCTCCTTCCCAGACTGAGAGCTGTGTATTCAGGAGGGCCCTACGTCTGGCAGATCCTGTATTCTAGTGTTTGTCTCCTCAGCATTGTAAGACTGTGGAAAACTTCATTACTCTTTTCAGAGACTTTAGGGCTTAGCTTTTGACTTCAAGCCCTACACAGGTTTGGGATTTAGCAAATGATTTGCAGTGGTATTCTCAAATCTCCAATTTTGTGACTTCAGCTCTGTATAACTGCCAAAAGCTTAGGTAACTTCTCTGTCCTCTGACAGGAGCCCTCTGTGTAGTCAAAGCCTGATTTCTCAGCCCCTTGCCTATGCCTGAATCTTTAAAACTCGGGGAAAATGACTGCAGATCTTCAACTCCCTTCTATCCAGTTAACCCCTCTTCAGAATCTTAGTCACTCAGGTCAGCTCAGGTCATTGTTGTAGCAGCAGCCTTCTTATGTATTTTAAATAGATTATTTTTAAAATTTTATCTGGCTTTTCTTGTTCTTGGCTGGAGCGTTGTTCTGCAACAAATGATTCCATCCTAACTAGATGTGGAGATCTGACAATTGGAAAAAATCCTTAAACTTTTAAAATAGTCAACTGTTTTTACCATTTCGTGCCCTACCAAGTATATTTAACCTTGGATCATTCAATATATTGTTGAAGGAAGACATAGCCAAAACTATTTTTATGTGTTGGAACTAATTATAGTATAAGCTCAAACATTTGATTATTTAATAATTTATTTTCTTAAGCTGACTAAAAATAAACACATAGAGATAATTAAATATTGCTTGCCATGCATTCCTTCTTCCTCTCCTTTGTCCACTGCCTTTCATAGTATAAAATTTAAAAAATCAGTAATGGGTAATATTTACCAACATGTCTTTATTTATAAATAGGTATTACCTATCACAGCAATATATTTATCACGTGTATATTTATTATGTTTTATGGAGAAGCAGTTATGTATTTTAATTATTTTAGTTTGCATGTTTGTCAAGCTCTCTGGTCCAAGTAGTATTCATTTTAATTTTTATATTATAATCATTATAAGCATAAACTTTTTAATTGCTGTCTTATGGTTCTGAATGAAAATATTTTAACATTAATTTTAAAAAATAAACTGTTTATTTTGAAATAGTTTTAGATTTACAGAAGTGTTTCAAAGATAGTACAGTCCGGAGTGCCCATAGAATGCCTTTCACCCAGTTTTGGTTTCCCCTGATTTTGCCATCTCATATTACTGTTTATCGAAGTTAAGAAATCTACATTGGTACATTGCTATGAACTCCAGACATTACTCACATTTTACCACTTTTCCATTAAAGTTCTTCTCTTCCAAGATTAAATCCAGGATACCACATTGAGTTTAATCGTCATGTCTCCCCAGTCTCCTCTGCCCTATGGCAGCTTATTAGTCTTCCTTTTTTTTTCCCTCCAGGACCTTCACAGTTATGAGGATACTGGTCAAATATTTTATGAGTTGTTTCTGAATTTGGTTTGTCTGTTTTTCTTGTGATTAGACTAAGATTTTGAATTTTCGGAGTGTCACAAAAATGTCACCTTAATTTTAATGCTCTTATTTAATTTAGCATCAGATATTTTCTAATTGTACCATGTCTTCTATGTAGTGTCAGATACCTTTAGTTCTATTGTATGTAGCTATTGGAAATCTTCAAATTCAGTGAGAATTTCTTGATTTTGATACATTAACTTTTTTTTTCAAATCAAGTTAAAACAATTTGTTTACTTGAACTGGCCTTGTTAAAATCTTATTTTATTCGGATGAATTCTTATACTCTTACTTATTCAAATTCTTCTATATCTTTTTCTGGTTTAAATGGAGAACTGAAAGCCTTAAAGTTTTTCATAGAATGAATTAAAAGTTTTATAATTAGCATTTGTTTGGAGTTGTCTTACCAACCAGTCGCACATTCTTTCTTCTTTGTCCTTTTTTTTTTTTTTTTGCCAATTAATGTTCACATATTTTACTCAAATTATAGAAATACCTAGAAATTTCCCTTTTTTTCCCCACTAATTTTTCTGGAATCTTAATTTCCATAGGACCCTAGAGGTTGTCTTGTTTGTTGTTGTTGTTTCTTTATTAGCTGAGCCATCCTGCCACCTGTTGGCAGCTCAGCGGCTGCTCAGCTCGGGCTGAGACTCGAACCACTATTGCTCAGAGCTCACACTCTTGAGCGAGC